GTTGCGACCACAAAAAAGACCACACCATCTTGCTCTTCATACTTTCGAAAGTTGGGCGGTGTTCAATTACATCATGAGGCCTACCCATTTGAGTGTGGCGGTCACAGTTTTGAAGAATCGACGTTTGGTCGCGACGGCAAAAGTGAAGCAAACGGATAAAGTGATTTTGAACTTAGCAGGAAATTGGCAGTGAAAAGGTCTCTTCTTCCAAGTCGACGTGAGCCAACTGCTGTACGTCGGTTGTGAGGAAGGCGGCCCCATAACCCCGACGCCTGGACTTGGAGGCTGTCGGCGGTTCGTTGATCGCCTCTGACTGGTCGCAGCTTCTTGGCAGGAGGAAGCTCGACGTGGAGTCTGTGTCCCCGGGCGCACCCGAGGCGGGTCCGGTCGCAAGATCGGGAGGCGTCGATGCGTGGGCTCGCGACATACTGGACTGCGGGCAGGTCCGGTCGCGTCTGACTACAACGCCCTCGGTCCGAGGCCGGCCGGCCGGGCGAGCCGCCGGCGAGGCCACGGGCAGACTGAGCCGGGCGCACGGTTGGTACTGATGGTCGTCGGGTCGAGAGCCCGACTGCGCCTGGGCCTGGGGTTCGGCGTAGCTGGCGAGCGGAAAGACGGCCAGCCAAAGGCCTTCGGCGAGCGCGGCGGTGGCCGGGGGGTGCCCCGTAAACGTGTGGTCGGGGCCGCGGTAGATGGAGGCGGGACTCGGGCCAGGGCCGAGTCGGACGTTTGAGTCGGCCTCAACTTGGCTGGGACAAGCATGGCCGGCGTAGACGAAGGCTGCGGGTGACACGAGGACATAGGACAGATGAGATAACACAACTGCTTAGCAGACAATTTGTCAAAGAATCGACTTCACTTGTCGCCATTACGAGTTGTTGGATGGTGCTAATGGCGAGGCTCATTGACGATGTCAATTACGATGCCGGCGGAACGTCTGGGAATGTACCAAGTCGACGTTCCTGACTGGAATTTATCACGTGTATTATAGTCTCCAGACAAGTTGCATTAATCTATGCTTTCCCGCCAATTTGACCATGTTGCGAAAACAAAGTGCGACAGGCTCTAGCCAAAAAATAAATTGTTTGTCTTTGGCTCAGTATAAGTTTGCTGTTATATGAATATGACAAACTCGTTGGCTTGAATATGGTTTTAGGGATGATGCCCTGCTTTGATGATGCCAATCATACGACGGACGAAGGCTTAGACCATTTTTTAAATCTAATAAGCGGGTTTGCGAGATCACCCGTATATAGTACGTGTAAGACCTATGCACCCTATTTCTTTTAAGGTTATAGGGGGACTGGGGATAAGAATTGGAGCTGAATGTATCTCTATGGCGTGTAGATGATTCGGTAATCAAGAATGAGATGAGATTTGGTTATGTATTGGTTGTGAAAACCTTATGCATCTTGGTAAGCATCACTTATCAAATTATGACAGCACCTTTCCATAACGAACCTATATCGAGGTTTATTGAATCGCTCGGTTGACAGATTCTAAGAATGATGCCCTGCTCTTATCTAATGATGAGCGTCACGACGTATGAAAGCTTAACACGAATCTCTTCACCAACGATTTTCACTCGAAATTGAAGTTATCTAAACAATTATAAATTAAGAGATTCCTCGTGACCCAACCTTTCTTCGCATACACCATTTTAGTCGTCACAGCCACGATTGTAGCTCATTCACCAGACAGAGTCTGCTTCCTCCTTCCCTCGCATCTGTGTCGCTCATCAGGCATCAAGTGAGCCATGGACGTAACGAAGACAAGTCGCTTCGCACTTATGCTCATTACTTCTTGTGTCACAGGTTTTTGAAGTGGTTTGATCTGGTTTTGGCAAATTATTTGTAACTTAAATGAACGCCCTCGCCTTAAACCCTTTTCCATAGTAGTCCGGATAATTGGGAATTCACCAAATCCAAATTAAAGCTCTGGAAATTATCATGACACAAAGCACGATGAGTTGTCCCATGTCTTTGTGACAATACATTCAATTTACGAAAATGAGGCAATTGATCTGAACCAAGGCATCATAAGTCCACCCACCACGGACGGATACACATCAATGACGAGACTAGACTGTCGCTGTTGACAAACCGAGAAGACACCATACCTCATTTACAAATGTCCTTTCACATATGCTTCAATAAGAACCGAACCAGCTTGTACAACGCCCCGCTAGTAGATCTATCCATAAGGCACAAAATAAGCCTACCCATGTGATTAATTCAAGCCTCAACTGAATGAACTTTTGACGTCGAAATGCAGTCAAGTTGAACACATCAAGATTTCTTTAAGAACTACCACCGAATAGAGATACATTTAGGCTTGAATATGATGACAAGATTGCTCGCCAGGGAGGAGGCAATACTACTCGATGGGTGTGGTTTCTAGGCTAAATTATCTTACTAAAACGATTATGCGTGATAGTTGCAGACAAATCACGGATTCACCTCTCAGGGCGCAGTTTTCCTAACTAAATTCCCATCTACAAGCCCGACCAACTTTGTGTGGGGTTCGGTGTTTATTTACAAGTGCACTTTCTGAACTCTTCCTGAGACCTGGTAAGGCCGTTGAAAACAAGTTGACAAGTCATCCAACTAATTCTATAAGCGGTTCTAGCAGGCTGGCAACGGACGGAGTAAACATCAGATGTGTGCTTTTCGCCAAGCCCAAGGGGAGGTAATACAAAAGAGTTAACTAGTGGAACGGGTTTCATCGCGTCCCTCGATGCCTTTTCTCCTAACCAACTTAATATGGGCTGGAAAAAACCGTTTCAATACAGAATATGG